TTGCAATCAAGAATAAATTTTTTTTTCTAGCCAAGGTTTTTTTATACTTGCTTAGTTAAGCAGTTACATAACTTGTAAAAATAAGATCTTGATGTAGCACAATTATCCCAGGGCATACTAATCAGATACTAAGATCCGATAAAAGCTCATAAAAGAGACGCAGTCTACCCCAGGTCGAAAAATAATATGTAAGATCTTGCGAGACCAGATAAGATCGTACGAAAAATTGTCGTCTCTGAAATCTTACATTGAGTATTACAATAGGGCACTCGTAAAATTTTACCATTGCATAAGATTTCCTATAATCTTATAGTCATATCTTGCGATACAATAAGCTCTTTCAAGAATCTGACAGTACTAATTCAAGTAAGATTTCAGAGACTAAAATTTTGCGTCAGATCTTACCGGATCCAGCAGTGGCAGAATTGAGGCAGAACTCTTAAGAATTCTGTATCTCCAGCAGAACTTTGCTTCTAGGCATGCGCTAATCTATGCACTAAGAACACGGTTCTTCTAAGAATTTTGTGTTCACCACAGAATTTAGTCAGAAATCTTAAGAACTCTGAATGCTTTGCAGAACTCTGTATACGTATTGGTACAAGTGAACCAGACTTACACCCAACCTACAATCTACACAATTGGAATCGCACTGATCGAAATCATTTTAACGCGTTTACGAATGATCAAGATCTAGTTGAAGCCGGTTTGCCTCCATTTGAAACTTGCATTCGCGATGCTCAAGCTCCTTGTATTATGTGCATTCTCAATGAGATCAGCGGTATACCAGCATGCGCAGATCAATTTTTCATTGACAACTTTGCTCTTGTAGCACTACAAGATCGATCTGAACCCAGGATACGCGCAGGTATCTCCCATGATTTTCACCTGTTGTCAACTTGTGAAAACCCTTTAATGATAACGCAACGATGTATGATTTTATTATTGTGAATCTTTAAAAACATAACGAAACCAACAACAATCATTAAATTAAAAGCAAGTAGCAATGAAACACTTTATGCTTTTATCACAATGAGTCATTAAAGACATCACGAAACCAAACGCAATAATCAAATGGAAGAATGAAACGCATAACAATTTTCAAATAGAACTACGAAACAACTGTTTTTATGGAATCGTTAAAAACAAAACAGAACTAAAGTACTGCAATTGTTTACTGGAGGAATTCTACTTTATTTATGAATCTTTTTTGGTTTACGTGATCGATCTTCATCTTTAAAGAGAAAGAAGAGATGTAGCGGTCAGAGATGGTGCCACTACCTACCATACGATTACAAGAAACAAAATGTTTTGATCAGTTCGACTGTATTTTGTGAAAAACAATTTTTAACAAGCGTTGAACTATTTGTGTTAAGAGACGTTCCATGAAAATATCGAGTATTTTTTAATATGAACAAACATAGGGGTCAACATATTTTAGATTTGACCCCCTAGAAATTTCAGTAGCTCTAATGGCCAAAAAGTGAAAAATCGACCAAATTTTATACACGAAAAAAAACACACTATTTGAATTTTTCCTAAGTCTAAAATAAGTAGATCGAGAAAATGCATATTAATAAACGTATGTCTTAAGCCCTCCCCCCCTCCCTTCAAAAATCGATCCCCATAATGGAACATGGTATGATGCTGAAATTTTGTACGGATGTTAGTGTTAGTCAGTCATGTATGAAAAAAACATTTCAGCCTTCTATCTCTTTGTTTAGAGTAGTTATGATAATTTCAATATGCACATAAAGCTTATTTTAGGGCTATTTGTATTTCCTACGAAATTCTGTCTGAGCCATCTCAAAATTCTATCTTTTTTTATTTTGTACAAAACACTTAGGGCTAGGGCTCCTCGTGGCCCTTTTTTCGAATTTCTTCCTTCTTCTATTTTTAGGTTTGCATGTAGTTGAAAGATTTCTAGAAATCCGAAAAAAACATAAATTTTCTTAGAAGTAAAGCATTTTTTTCTTCATCTAAAGTTTTTTTGAAAAAACGTCCACGAGGGGCCCTAGCTGGAAGTGTCAGCTGTAAAACAAAAAAAAACATCTGAAGTTATCTCTTGATTAGATAAAAAAGTTTAGGAAATATTTCATGAAACTCCTGTTTTGAGAAAACTTTAAAACAAAGTTGCTGAAATATTTTCAGAACAATTACAAAACGTAAAATGAAATAAACACAAGAATATTATGTACTATTGAACACTGTTTATAAAAGTCGATCAAATAATCAATGATGCTTTTCATAATGTGGCGCCATCCACCCATGCATCAATGTGATTGGATATTTGCATTAATGTGCAATCAGTTTGACGCTACTTTTTCGTTGAACGCAGTTTGACAAGACACATCTTATTGACTGAAGGTTTTCTGAGAATAGTATGTTTTGTTGTATTTCTAATAAAAAAAAATTCTATTGCTGCTTTTTTATGTCAAAGAAGCATTTTTTATGTTCAGTACATGATACTTGGCCATTTTTTGTAAAATAAGCACAAATTGTCTTGTTTTACCTCTCGTATTTTCAAAATAGTCGTTATTACGGATATTATTTGATATTCCTAGTACTTCTGATTCAAATATTTTCATAGCTTTTCTATTAACACTAATACTCACTGTCACCGGAACTACAGTAGCACAAGATTTATGTTAAAGATCCAAGTGATTAATGGTAATGAAGTAATCTAAATTGAACGTACTACACACTAGCTCACATTCTATTGTCTCAGAACTGTTTTTGTCGAAAAAAAGTGTTTTGACAAAAAAATTATCACTTGAAAAAAATCAATTTTTTTATATGGGGTAATCATACTTTTTGATCAGAAAACTGCCATTTTCGAGAAAAATTTGAAAGCCATACTGATCCTGAACGTACACACTTCAATAAATCCGAAAATGCATTCATCTCAATTTTCATTTTTTTGAAGAAAAGCTCGATTTTCGAAGGGGGGGGGCTTTAAAAAATTCTGCTGTGAATACAGAATTCTTAAGAAGTCTGTCTGAATTCTACTGCAGATGCAGAATTCTAAGCAGATTTCTGCTTTTTATCTCAAGGTGAGTGTATGGATTGGAACAAAATTCTGTTTAGAATACAAAATTCTGGGAAAATCCTTACGAATTTTGTCTGAATTCTGCTACATAATTCGGTTGCGGGTATAGAATTCTTTAGAATTGTGTCTGAATTCTACTGTAGATACAGAATTCTTGAATTCTGCTTGGTGAGAATTCTGCCTGCCCTCACCAGATCATACAATATCAGGTGCAGAATCTTGTCAGATCTTAGTATCTGATTGTTTGTTCTGGGTGGGTTCCCAGAACTTGTCTTTACTTTACGCACATTTTTTTTCTATACTGGAGAGAGATCATTGCTTACTTCATTGCTGAAACGTTGCAGTAGAATAGAAAAAAAAGTTAGTAATATATTTGCAAATAAGTTAGCTTTGTTTATTGTGAATACTAAATTTTACCATGTACAAACATTGGGATGGATAAATTCAGACATTTTGAATAACTGAATATCACAATTCTATGTGATAAAGAGTTAAAGATATGCTATATCCAGCAGCAGCGCGAGCTATTGGGAAAGGACTTCATTCTACTTTGAGAAGTTTTGGTTACGATTGCCTCTGGATTTAGGATAATTAATCTCCCCAGGTCGAAAAATCTGATATAAGATCTTGCAATGCGAACGAAATCTTACAAGCATCAGACAAAAAATCGTCGTCTGTGAAATCTTGCATCAGGTCATACTATATTTTCTTTAAAGATCACACATGCAATTTATTTTCAATACAAATTTGTCGTGATATTATAAGCCCCAGAGCAAACAATCAGATATTAAGATCCGACAAGATTCTACATCTGATCTTTCAAGAATCTGATTGTGCGAATTGATCTCAGATCTCAGGAACTACGATTTTTTGTCAGATTCTTGTAAGATTTCGCCCGTATTCCAAGATCTTGTATGTGCTTCATAAGATCTTATATGACCAGATAATATTGGAGATTAAGTATTTGGTTGTTTTATTGCGAAAATCGATGGCATTAGTGATTGCATGGCTCTATATGCCAATGAACCATCAAGTTAACCTCACTTCACTCGGAAGATTTTTATTTTTGAAGGAAATATACATTCCAAAAAGCTGGACCACAGCGTTAACGATTAAAGCGAAAAACAGAGAAACACCTAACTTAATGGGAAAAGGAGGCTCGGAAAAAATCTATAACGTAAAGAATACTCTCAAAAAGAGAGAAAAAACTAGAGAAATATACTCTTCAACCTCCATAGATCTCCTAAATAATAATAAAAACAGCTTTTAAAAACTATTTGAGCTATATACTAGGAACGGACGTTCTGCTACCCGTTACGAGCGGTAGGTAGTAGAAGAAAAACGATTTTCAAAGCTATAGGATATCTGTACCTGGAACGGAATTTCTACTACTTGTTACGAGTAGGGATGCAACGGTGACGATAACCGGTCCACCGGTCACCGGTTCTTAACGATCATCGGTCCACCGGTCACTGGTTCTTAACGATCACCGGTTCACCGGTCACTGATTCTTAACGGTCACTGGTCCACCGGTCATCGGTGCATCTGTAGACCGGTATGGAGCGGCATAGAATGCTATAGATCGATGTAAGCTATATAAACACCTGTTATTATTACAGAACCGTAGAAATCAGTGTACCCGTATGAAAAAATGCGGCAGTATTTTCCATAGCGTATGAACTGGTAAATACTATTAGGCAAATGAGACTGGAATTCAGTTTATGAGCAGTATAGATGCATTAGAATTTGTTTACTGGTCAAGTGCTATGTTACTTTCAGGATCATATTCTTTTATTCTAGTTTTGACGTGCTAAAGGGTATTAAAATTATTTGTGAGTCATTTTTCGAAACATGAGGCAGTATATACTAGTTTTCAAACTTTTAAAAAGTATTCTACGTTAATTCTTAGTTATTAAATGAAAATTTATAAGAATTTTTGGTCTAATTCAAATTGCTTCAACATGGCTTCATCAATCATGGAGCATAACATATTAATTTTTCTATTTGCTAAAATAAATCATCATATGTTTGACTTTCTAAGAATTAATCATAAGTATTTCTTGTATTTTTACAAGTAATTAATATTGATTTTGTGACTCTTAAGTTGTATTACATTTTTTAAATATTTTCTAAAGCAATTTATATAAACTTTCGTTCGTGAAGAATTAATTCTGGTACTTTCCATACTTCAAGAAATATAAACAGTATTTTTTCGAGTTCCGAGCATATTATATTCAATTTTACTATACTATTGAAGGTACTAATTTTTAATTTAGAAAAATGAAAGAAGCGATAACCACCGATTTGCACAGGTTAAAAGTTATCGATGATATTTTTTATATTGGAAAAGAAATGATGCTACTTTTACTCTTCGCGCAATCCTTCAGTTTTCTTTTTTCGTATCAATAGGCAGTTAAAGATCCTAGTGATGCTTCGAGAATCTCTCGATAGTACAAATCTTGATCATGTAGTAATTGCACCAATTGTCTACCTTTATAAATCCTCGATTTAAATATTGACATATAAAAAAATCATTTGTAGAATTTTTGTGATTAAAGAAGCGACTTACATAGTTTTCATTCATTTTTAATCAACATATTTTTAAATCATAGAAACTGTCAAGAGTCATTTAATACTTGAATCACATCCAAACACTGTTGAAACATGAATAGACGTGCGCTTTGCAACACATTTTTTCATTTCGATAAAAACATGTAGTACAATTTTCAGTTTTGATACTCAAATTATTTATATTTTTCAGCAACATTAAACTGCAATTCCCACGTATAAATTATCTAGACAATATTAAACAAAAAAGTTTAAAACTGAAAATTAGCGATCTTTTGAATAAATACTCTGACTTATTTGAAGTCTTATGAAAACTACAACATGGAATAAGAGAATCAGAGTACTGACAATCTTGTATAGTATTAACCTTTGATGATTTTGTAACAACTTAAACTCTTTATCGATAGTAAAATTCAGAAAGGTTGTGCAACACGATCATCTTTAGCATAAAAGTGAGCATCCACTAATGGTATGTGCTAGTTCAACTATGACTGCTTATATACGTATATGACATCTGTAAATGAGTACTCTATACAATTAAATCATCTGTGTATCAGCTCCACCATCAGCAATTATTAACAAGATATCTGAAAAAAAGATAAATGGCCAGTGCCATTAATATCTCCTCAACTTAAAGTTTTGACTTTGAATAATTACATTTATGGTAACTAAAGTGCTGTTAAAACCATGGGAGACCGAAAGTGAATGTTTCCATTAGCAACTAGTTCCAAGCATAGCTGATTTAGTACGACCGGTTACCGTTAAGAACCGGTGACCGGCGGACCGGTGACCGAAATAGACCGGTTACCGGTGGACGGTGAACCGGTGATACACCGCCACCGTTGCATACCTAATTGAAATACTTTGGATACTCGTGTATCGTTCGGTACTTGCAATACGTAAAGAATTGTTATTCAATTTGTATCATCATTAAATAACACAAAAAAAGCTGATGACCATGTGTAGAATAAAGTACGATACTCATAATGAAAAGAACTGAATATCGTATTTTTTAGTTTCTTTTCATAAATATTCATTAGAGATCTTTCAAATAGGTGTTCATTCGTTTGCTTATTAAATTTGTGTAATTACTATTCAGCATATTTTTTTATGAATTGAGTATTTCAAAGCAACAAAGACTAAACTAAAGATTCGAATTTGATGTAATTATAGAAAGCAATAATAGTAGCTGTAATATTCGTTAAAATCATATTATTAAAGTCAAACAAATACTTTACGATGTAATTTTTACGACTAATACTCTTTTGTAAACTGCTTTGCGTTTCGTCAACATATCATTATTCACCTAGACAGATTAAAATTTAAAGAAGCTTACGTTTACATTCAATTTATGTTCCTTACTGCCAACTTCCTTTTATCTAGCTTGCTAAAAACGATATTAAGATTTCAGTCATTTACTGTTTGCTTTCTGAATACATGCAATCCAAGTATTTTTTTACAAAGTTGAATAAAAAGTATGTTGTGTGACGAAAAAATAATAAATAAAATAAGTTTATCATTGAAAATTACAAAACCGAGTGTATTATAGAGAAATTCAGTCAAAAACCATTACCTGTTTTAACAGGAATGCTAGGGATATTATAGAAGAATATAGTGTAGAAAAAAAATGATCCACATTCGCGTTGGATCAAAATCCAATAAAAAGAATCGAATTCTTCAGCTTGAATTGATGTTTCTAAGAAATTTTAATATTCTATTACCTTTTAATTTTGTTCTTTATCTAGATGGCCTGTTTCTTTCTGAGTAATCGCTAAAATACTCATCATTTTTCTATTCTATCCAACTTTAAATGATATTTCATGCGTATGTATATAGTTATTTTATTAGGTAATAAATTATTTATTCGAAGAATCTTCTACATAATTAAGCGTAAAAATACAAAACAAAACGACGTTGCACCCAGACAAAGAATAATTTTATAACAAAAGAATTAACGTAGACACGAATTCGAAGAAACCCACTTTACAGATAAACGTCAGCTGATTCGTTGTCCATTTTATTTGAATCGTTGACTAAGCCTTTCTCTGGCGACGACGTATCTCTAGAGTAAACAATGGTGAACAAAAGAAAAACTATCTGGACAAGTTTTCTTATACCTTAATGTTTTTAATTGTATTTGAATTTCTTTAGCACGTTCATCGTCAATTGAATAAAAATATAAACATATTGTTGATAAAACTAGTACACAACCTGGTACAGCACCCATCAGTATTTTTAATGCGAATTGAACTGCTTCTGGTTGTTCACATCTTGTAGAATCATAACCACTTGCACTAAAAGATTGACTCAATAAAATTTGTCTATTAAAATAAATGATTTATACCCAAGTGCTAATTGAACAACACCTGCATATAATGCTTGAACAAGTTTAGCACCAAGGAAAAAGAATGTATAAAATATTTCAACCGGTCTTCGACCTGTTTCAAGCATAAATGCATCGATACATTCTGGTAGCATGGCCCTAAATTTAGAACTATGCTATTTCTATTAAATAAATATAAAATATTTAATACCATGGCATGATATAACCACAAGCAACTGTATTAGCACCCATGATTGCTGCAACAAATAAAAGGGCCATAGGAGATTCGCTAATTAATATGATGATTACAGTTGGTATTAAACACTAATTTTATGTAAAAATGAAATACTAACTCTGAGTACAAAAAGAAGAAAGAAAACTACACTACATACCAAATTTCCAATAACAAAACTTTTTTTCTTTCCAATTTTACGCATTATTATCGACCATACAAATAAAAGAATCATCGTTGATACCTAAAACAATACAGACATAAAGAATGTAAAATAAAATAATGTTTCGTTTTTTTTTCTAGTGTCTAAAAAATACAAACAATTAATGTTCCAGCCAAAAATGGAAATATTGTACGATTTTTCTTGACATTATTTAAATAAAGTTCAAGGACACTCTGAATTGACTATATATAAAGAATATACAAGATTTTTATCAGCACAATATAAAATAAAGATCTTAATACATACTTGAGTTGCAAGAATAGATGCGACTGTTGCTGCTGTTAAGATTAAAAATGGTTTGTAACGTATTATCATTTTAAAACCTTTTGTATAGCTTGTTTGATTCGTTGGAATGACATCTATTGTAATATTTAAAAAGGAATCCAATCTTTAAATTTAATTTCAACTTACCGACGACTTCAGTAACAGAAAAAAAAAGAAACACTGATGATAGAATACACAATAAAGACACAATGCCAGCCGAAGTCATATAAGCACCTGCCTAGTTTTTATTTATAAATATCAAATGATAGATAAGTTTATTCTACGATTACCACATTAGGTAACGACGAATTGACTTTCATCGTCGAATTTTCTACTATACTACTGTTATACCATTCGGAAGTATTAGTTGAATTGTCGTCACAAAGTGGTAGTACTTTTGATACACCAAATATAGCTGCGATTCCCGACTGAAAAACAATCGAAAGTAAAAGACCAGCAGCCTCGAATAAAGTACCTGTTTCATGTGCAAAAAAGAGATTAAAATAGTATCAGCAAACTCATTTATTCATACGGTATTTTGTTAATTGATCTCGCTCATGCTGATTTAATGTTAAATAAACAGTGAGAGCTGTATGTGGAATACGTGATGCCTAGATTATTTTGTTTTTTGTTTTCGTTATAAAAACATGATTTTGTTATAACTTACAGTCATGAATGTCCATAGTAAAGAATGAACTAGAAGATAATAAGCCAATTTACCACCGCCAGAAATATTTGGAAGACACCAAACACCGAAATAGGAAAGCGCAACACAAGGTGCTGAAAAAAGTATCCTAAAAATGTTCAATTAAAAAGTACAGTAATGTCAAATCTGAACGCTGCTGCTGATAATTAAATAGATGAATTTTTGCTTTTCAGATATCCACGAAAACGCATAAGTAACGCTGGTCTATTAGACTCATTGAAATTTTGACTGAATACTGTACTACTTTAAGGTCGTAAAACAACGTTAGCCTTGAACGTTTCTGTTCTGCACTGATTCAAGTATACCATCATCCAAAACTGTGGGCCATTCTCAAATGTAAAACACAACAGTACGCACATGAGCACTCTAGAAACCAGAAAACTTCTTTTACTTCATTGAAATACCGTTTCAGTGAAGAGAATCCAAAATCATTAAGCTATGCTCTCCATCAAATTAATAGAAATTCACTAATACTTAATTTGTCATTATAAAACTGCTTACTTATTTATAAACGTTTTTTTTTCTTATTCAGAGGATTAAGCTTCGATTCTTACTGCGTTACACTATTCCGATGTTCTTTTCCTGAATATTTCTATATTATTTTGACATCTTCTGACGAACTAAGTACTTGTAAGGATGAATGAACAAATCAAGTATTCGTTAAGTGGTCTCTTTTTCTATTGTTTGACATGCACTACTTTTCAGATCGGGTGATTGTCGTTGTAAAAAAGAAAGAAAGAGAAGATACTCAATTAAGCAAACAGGTTTGAAGTGCTATTGGCTTATCCTTTAATTCACAACACCAGATAACATGAATTCTGCTGCACTGTAACCTTCACAATAGGTTCCGAAGAACCATTGAAAGATTAACTTAGCACGTGAGTTTCGATAATTAACTAAGTTTTTTGAATAGATTGTTAACATAGCCAATACTTTTCAAAGGCTAGTATTCGATTTCAACAATTGATCCTGATCTGTCTCTGAAAGTCATACGAAAAGTATTTTTCACTTTCCGCCGACGCTGTCTCTCGTTCGTATATGTTTCTTTTATAATTCTGTAAAAGTATTATGCAGTCATGAATGATTACTAAAAGGACTAGCTGTTAGTTCAAATTTTAAATATTTTTGCATTGGAAGTATTTATATTGATTTTCAAGTTCATAGCAACAATGTTCTAGTAGCTGGATATCAATTAAATAGTTAATCAGCAGATTTCATTTGTACGCAATGATTCTAGCTAGACTATGGAGATGAATAGATGATTTTAATTTTATCAAGTTTTTCTCATCGTTTAAATTAAATTGTTATGTATCGATCGGTACAATTTTAAACTTCTCGAGAGCAACTGTTTGGTGAAAAGAAACACCTAAATGATTCAAAAAATTCAGTTGACTGAAATTTTGGTTTTCTGCTGTACATTGTATAATGAAAATATCTTTAGATGCAATAAATTTGCTCAGTCATATATGTATACATTTTTAGTTTCTAATAAAACTTGAATTGATGATTAATATTCATGTAATCACTTACCAAGGTCTCATTTTCCCCCATCGAAATGAACATCGGCTAAAAAGATAGCCTCCAATAGGATCAGTTAAGGCATCAATAAGTCGACTAGTAAATAAAATAATTGCATTATATCCTGGTGATACCTAAAATATGAATTTTCCTAGATTTTAAACAAAAGTTAAATTGATTAAACCTTAGCAACATCCAATAGAAATTCATTTATATAAAAAGCTATGATTGATAATTGCATTGAATAAGGTAAACCAACCGAAGCATAAGCTATTATAGATAGCCATGACAATTGATCTGATGACGCTGTGCCATCCAATGGTTCATTTAATGATCCTTCATCTATTAGCTGTTCGTCATAATCGTTAGATTTTGTAATGGTATATGGTGGTGGTGGTGGCGATGAATCACTTCTAGGTCCCTAATAAAAATCTCAATGAATTTCGAATAAAATAATCTTTTATGCATATTCCTACCACACGCGTCATATTTTCTTGTTAATAAACGGCAATGAAGATACGCAATTCTATATATCAAACAAGTTTGTTGTTTCTTTTGTTATCTTCTAAACTTATATCAGTTCGTCTTTTTTCTCCGTCTTAACTACCTCTGTAGTTACATGATCATCATTGTTTGAATTTTATAACTAGTAATAAAAATATAAGATCTTTTAAAAACTAACAAAAATGCAACCATATTTTTCAAAATCTTCTATAACAAAAACTAGTTGACCTATGATACGTTCTATCAAGATGGTTGAAAAAATGACTTACAAAATCTTAGAATCGCTGATTTCTTTTTTCTTCCATTATAATTCGTTAATTGTCAGTTCAATACTATTATTTAGTGATGGAAGTACAGATAATGTTTTTTGAAATCAATACACCTAACAACTTGTTCAGGTTTTGAATCAATGGCATAGCTCATCAAATAATATGCATCGGTTTATTTTAACTGTTTAGAAGCAGTATTTATTTATAGTTTCAAAAGAGAGCAAACAAATATTTGCATTATTAATGTACAAAAACACAGCAAGAAATCTTCAGCAGAAATAAAAATAGAAGCACCCAAATAATGAAATGATCATGTTTTAATTATAATGAACGTTTTAAAAATAGGTAATCATATTAATTAATGAAGAAAAATAATTCATCTCGTCCAATTTAGCAATATTTATTTAGAGATTAAAAAAACGATTACGATTGTAGCTTGGCCAAACTAAACACAGACAACAATAAAAAGCATATATCTTTCTTTATATCCATAAATAGCGTGAAAATTGTTTCTTACTCAAAATAAATGGCTACATTTTATGAGATTTGAATGAGAGAAGTTTATCCCTATTTTATTGAGTTATGCAATAGGACCATGAAAAATAATAGTCAAAACAGGAATATTATTCAACCGAATCCATGTCAAAATAGCATAGTACCTCAAATTTAGCCACGTTGCACAATTAGACGTACATTAAGACTTCGACATTTTTCGCTGTGATTGATTGGTTGTATACAATATATCTATTGTTGCACAAGAAAAAGTCTTGCAGGTGTTTTGAAGAGGAGCTTTCTGATTTTTTTCAGTAGTAAATTTGTTGTAATACATACTCAGTGATTTAGTCGGACTCAAAATCCATCTTTAATAAAACTACAGATTATTGAATGCTATTTATGTGAATGCAATTCATTTTTGTATAAGTAGTGGAACCAAAGGAGTCAGGAGAAAGGAAAAACGACTCAACTCTCCAAGAGAATTCTTAAAATATATACTGTGTTTGGGAGGATTGGTCAAATATCTGTTGAAGTAGCTGGAACCTTCTTCAGACATCTTCCGGCTCCAATCATTTGCTTGAATAATATAAAGAATACATTCAGCAAGTTAAGGGATTTATTTTGTTTATTTTTTATTCTCTTCTTAGCATAGAAACGAAATAGATGAGTGTTAACATTATATTTCGTTTTTTCGAAGTTTAAAAAGAAAAGAAGCATGCACATTTCTTCCAATCCATTTTTTAGCTCAAGATCCTAAATTTCTTGCATGTTCTTCATTGTTCACTACTTTTTCAAAATATTTAACTAATATTAATGATGTTTTGTTTGCTGCTTCAATTATGTGTTGTATAGAATGATCAAATGTTATTCCATATAATTTATCGCCAGTTACATTATCAATAATAGAACCCGCTTGTGAACCCGCTTGGTACATATTTGGATGCATAGCTGTGATAAAAGCCCAACTATCATTATTTTTTTTTAATATTCTATATATAGTCTTGAAAAATTGCTCGAGTGATATAATATGTGCAAGAACAAGGGTACTGATAACAGTATCGACTGATGAATCATTTATTGATAGCTCATTATCACCATTAAGATCATGAATAATCCAATCGACCGACGACTTATGTCATTCTCCTTATTGCGCGACACGAACTTGAGCTTTTTGCATCATGCAAGTAGTAGTGGTGTAAGCAGGATTTTTTTAGTATTCTGAATCTCTGCTAGAGAGCATGGGTTCCAAACGAAAACTTATACACATTCATATTGGACTCAAATGATGAGTTTCTAGAGAAAAAAATTTTGAATCAGAGTTTGCAAGAAAAATTAGCATTCTCCTGAGTCCCACCGGAAAATGTTTCACGACTTTAATGATGTCTCGTTTTCAGGAATGCCATCGAAAGCTACATCAAATTTCATCGACAGATTTCAAATTTCATTTAAAAAAAATCATCCCTTCAGAGGTTACGTCGTTTTCAAGATTCAAGGCGTTTCGAAAAAACTTCACGAGGGATCTAAAATCTCACAACGTGTGAAGGGGGATGAATGTTTTTAAATGAAATTTGAAATCTGTCGATGAAATTTGATGTAGCTTTCGATGGCATTCCTGAAAACGAGATATCATTAAAGTCGTGAAAGATTTTCTGGTGGGGCTCAGGAAAATGCTAATTTTTCCTGCAAACTCTGATCCAAATTTTTTTTCGCTAGAAAGTCATCATTTGAGTCCAATATGAATGTGTATAAGTTTTCATTTGGGACCCATGCTCTCTAGCAGAGGTTCAGGATACCAAAAATCCTGATTACGCCACTAGCGAGTAGATACGTCAACTGCAATCTTGAAGAAAAAAAAATGATAAGATCAAATACGTCAAAATTGCAGACTGGACTCACAAATAGAGATTATCTGTATTCTTTCATCGAGCGATAATTAACTAACAACGCAATTGATTCTTTTATGCCATTCTTATCTCTATGACCGATTATACTCGTTTGTATATAACTACATACTTGTCATACTATTTAGTATGTGCTGAAAATTTCAGTCATAAACAAAAAGAGAAAGAATTCAATGAGAAAATTACAAATATTTGTGATACATGTATTTTTAATGAGTGTAACAAAAAAAGTTCTTTTTTGCTATATGACATGACAGACTACTATTTTTGATTCAACTAGAATACTTTGCGGTCTAGTAAAGTACTGAGATACTCATCTATGTAAACGGTACCAACAGACAGCTATTCAACATGTAAGAGTTTAAAACAAACTGGAACTGAATTTTCACAGAGTATTTTAATAATTTTTAGTAAAATCTATATCAAAGTTAGCTCTATGCTAACTACTTTTTTTTAGTACAGATGTACCAAAACAAAAGAGTCAAAACCTTATTATTGACTAGCGAAGAAAGTCACTGAAAGTAACCGCAATAAACATAAGTGAACTTTTGTTTTAATATCTTTCCGCTTCATAAGTTACTTTGTGTTAAGGTGAAGAATAATTTTAACCGTTAAAATAGTATTACATAGTTGATAAAATCAATCAAAAATATACTTTCCAGTACTTGAGAAATGAAAAAGTATTAAGAATCGAGTATTATTATTAATTCAGTCTGTAATCTTATACGCTATAAGTGTCGTATGACGATTCAAAAGAACTTAGACAAATTCACTTATGATTACTTCATTCACTGTCACCAATATACCTTATTTATAAATAGTTGCTTTTTCAGCTCCTAGTCTTGTTTCTACATGGCTAGGAATGATCTGTTTTCTTTCAAGTATCTTTGCTTATTGTTCTGTTCAAATGTAGTAGCAAAGCGATTGATGAATGTAGTTAGAGAAAAAAGAACGACGTTCGTAGTAACACGCATGCTAGTAATCACGTTGCTTAGTATACATGCCTGTGGTTAACCAACATATTGTCCGTGTCGCTTATAAATCAGAGAAATAACTTTAAAACTAGATAGTATTCGAGTTTCACTCGAATACGAATGCGATACGAAGCTCGAATCGGATCTTCACGAAAAATCTTCAATTCAGAGAAATCTTGAATACTTTTTATGTTGACATGATGAAATTCATCACTGAGAAAACTCTAGTCTTACTTAGCGATACATTCTTAAGGGTCGATTTCGATTGGTCGATTAATTGTCGTAAACTTAGAAAGCACAAATTTCTTTCATTTTCGTCATTTTAGAACGACATTTGTGAGTGAACGGAACTTCAAATTGAAGTTTCGAAAACGAATGTTAAAAGTTCCTTCTTAATACTTTCATTTCCCGTTTCAATGACTTTTCTATGATTTTCGGTTCTCGAGATCATTGCACAACAAAACGACAAGATGTGATGCGTACTTCGAGAAAGTAAAAGAAAAGAAGAACTCGCGACGAACTACAGAAATGCTATGCTTCGCATCGCATTAATAACGACAGTATAATATTGTTTCTATTCATGCGAATAAACATACATCAGTACCCTAAATATAATGGATGATTGTTAAGCTTCAACAGAGTACAGTATTAACATGTTTATATGCTACACAACAGGGCGTTATTTTATTTTTACGTTGGTATATAATAAAGATAAAGATTGTTTCAAAATTTATCTTTATCAAATAAAAGTAAAGTAAATAATAATCATTTTTTCTTCTAGTAAGTAACAACAATGTATGATACAATAGGCAGAAACACACTGCACAGAAAAACTTTCCATGTATATGTTTTATGCATGCACTTCATTTCTCAATAATATCAAATGTTCGTGCGCATGAAATCATATCGATACTAGGCGTATTTGCCAATTTAGTAATAACAGATAGAACCGTTTCTTTTACTCGATAAAAATAAAGATTCTATTTACATTTCTTTCATAAGGTAATATCTGCACTACGAACATATTGTACAACATTAATTATGGCAGGACCTATAAACGACGATGTGAGACTTTGCCCAATATCAACATCGGCAGATGCATTAGCTAGAATCAAGACCGTAACTCATCATGAATATTTTGAATCCTATCCGACTGTCAAAAGTTGGATGAAAAAACATACGAATAATCCGACACAACGAATTAAAAATTATTTCATCTCGTATTTACCTTTTCTCAGTTGGATCTATCGATATAATTTAACATGGTTTTGGAGTGATGTTATAGCTGGTGTGACTGTTGGCGCTATTGTTATACCACAGAGTATGGCCTATGCTGGCCTGGCAAAACTGGCTCCACAATTTGGTTTATATAGTTCATTTGTTGGAGTTATGATTTATTGGATTTTTGCTACAAGCAAGGTAAATAAGATACAGTCGGATATTCTGATTCTGAATAAAAAAAAACTCTACTATTCAGTTCATCACTTGATTCTTCTACATCAATAAGTGAGTGAATCTATCTGTGCTTGAAATACAAAATGCAGTGCTCGATTCATCTCGGTAGGAGTGATATAATTATATTTTTGAAAACTTTCAGGTCGCTTTATTGTTGTTGTTATCGCAGTGAAAGAAAAATTTCCTGAGAAATTGTCTCTTCCCAATGTTACGGAGCCCTTCGAGAGCATATAGAGCTATCGAAACTAACTCACCTTTATATCATATGAAAGTTCTATTTAATGGATAAAAACTTATTGTCAGCTAATTCTTTTGCTCGTTGGCCAAGGAGAAAATAATTGAATTAGGAACAGACGAAATTATTAGCTGATGGCATATTAATAGGTTAACATGAAAATTAAATAGCATTAATTTTCAGAAAAAAAACATGACGTTTCAGTAGTCGATATGTTGAAACAAATCAAATGATACGACGTATCTTTTTAACTTTTATATTAGCTGACAACATGAAAGTAATACTAGAAATTTATTAATTTTGTTATTCGAATTGTCCCATTTGCCATTAACGTTTGGTTTGCTTGCAGGATATTACTATTGGGCCTGTGGCGGTCATGTCAGCATTAACTGGCTCAGTGGTCGAAGCTGTACACAAAGACCATCCAGGATATGAATTACATGTCATTGCATCAGCTTTATCTCTCATTTCCGGTTGTATTGTTTTCGCTCTCGGCATGTTTCGTCTCGGATTTATAGTCGAATTCATTCCTCTACCAGCGTTAGCTGCCTTTATGACTGGCTCAGCATTGAGTATTGCTATGGGACAAATACCAACACTGATGGGCAACAATAAATATTTGGATACACGTGCGCCGACTTATTTAGTTTTTGGCAATTTTTGGAAGCAAATTTCACATTGTAATTTGAATGCTGCACTCGGTCTAACATCACTCTTTCTACTGTATTTTATTCGTTTTATTTGTACTCGTGCGGGTAAACGCTTTCCGAAAAGAGAAAAATTGTTTTTCTTTTTCAACACGCTTCGTGCCGTATTTATTATCCTTCTGTATATTTTAATTTCGTGGTTAATCAATCGTCACGATCCTGACCATCCACGGACTGCTATCCTAGGCGCAGTACCACGTGGATTTCAAAACATGGGTGTACCCTACATTGATTCAACTTTATTGAGTGCTTTCACATCCTATTTACCTTTGACTGTAATTGTTCTTCTCATTGAACATGTTGCTATTGCAAAATCATTTGGCCGCATCAATAATTATGCTATTGATCCTAATCAAGAGATGGTTGGCATTGGTGTAACAAATATATTTGGGCCCTTTTTTGGTGCTTACCCAGCAACTGGTTCCTTTTCAAGGACAGCCATTAAATCTAAAGCAGGTGTACGAACGCCCTTGGCTGATATAGTCAGTGGTTCAGTGATTATTCTAGGTATTTACGTATTGACAGGAATTTTCTATTGGATTTCACAAGCTAGTTTAGCGGCCGTTATCATTCATGCTGTCGGTGATCTGATAGTAGGACCCACGACGTTGAAAAGTTTTTGGCAAGTAAATCCAATTGAATTTTTCATCTTTTGGGCTGGGGTACTAGTAACAATATTTTCTAACATTGAATATGGTATCTATGTTACGGTTATTTCATCGGGCGTTCTTCTACTCTTTCGTATTGCTAAAGCTCGCGGCCAATTTGTCGGCAGAGTGCTAGTTCAACAAGTTAAATTGTTTGCTGATGATTATGAGCATTTAACAACTCGAAATATCTACGTACCACTCGATCATTCCGATGGATCAAATCCGACAATTATTCCCATATCGCCTGGCAATGGCATTTTTATCTATCGATTGAATGAAAGTTTTCTCTATCCGAATGCCAATCATTACATAGAACTTTTAGTTGAAAAAATTTTTCGTGAAACTAAACCTGGCAAAAGCAATTGTTATGGCTCACTCGGTGAACAACCATGGAATTTAAAGACAAGTCGACATCCAGAAAGGGATACACAGAAAGATGATTCACGGCCATGTTTGCATGCTTTGATATTAGACTTCGCTGGTGTTGCTCATTTAGATATAACTGGCCTACAAAATCTTGTTGACGTTCGCCAACAATTAGATCGGTATGCAAATAAAAGAGTCAATTGGCATTTTGTAGGCTTATCGAATCCTTGGTTGAAACGTGCATTGGTATCAGTTGGATTTGGTTCATCTCATGAAGGACACACAGTTTTTTCTGTAGCAAACATACACGATCATATTGATTGTGGCGAAAATGATAACGCCGTTGCACTTGTTCCCATTCTTGATAGCAATCGACCATTGTTTCATGCTGATCTCGATGAAGCATACGAAGCAGCTATTACAAGTTTACCTGCGAAAGACAATGCGGTCATTTTCAATAATAACAACTCATAGCGTAATCCTTGCTTTTCTCCCTCGATCTGTCTAGCAATATACAATGAATAAAAATATTTCCACATTTCCACATTTCCATATTTTACATATTATTCAATAAATTCTGATTAGATTGATCTCAAGTTTTACCAGGTGTATGACGGGTGTCCAAGGACTGAGGATTAGGAATTCCTCATCAGTTCCCCTACAGTTCCTTATGCATACTAAAGGTAAAACAATGGAATATTCACGATAATATTTGTTCTTATACTCATTTTCACTTGAAAAATTGGGAGAATCAATGATTTGATGTAAAAATTATTTTTAAAACAGCAATATCGCAACTTTCGTGAATGGTGGAACTGTGAGGGAACCTATAGTTGATTCCCACTTCCTCTAGGAATTATCACAGCGGCACTGACAATTCCTCGACACATTAGGAATTCCTATTTCTCAGTCCTTGGACACTGTTGACTTTTCCTGTAAGATTTTCTTCAAAACGTGTCTTTAAATCATCCACGTTTTTTCTTCTCGTCACATCATTGAGTTGAATTGTAAAATTTTGCAGCTCTCCATCACAGTCTCCAGCAAACAAATATCCTCAAAAATAGACATAAGCCAAAACCCTACTTACATGTCTTACAAATAACAAAAACTTGTAGGAACAATATGTAAATTTTCCTATTTTGATATAGCTTGGCGATGTTAAACAACATACGTACAAGACCTCCTAAATTCAGTCTCTCTAAAACTGTCCTAGAACGCTTTTCTTACGTTAACTATGCCAGATCGATGCTGATTTTTTTTAAAGCTTCTATCTGAAAAAAATTCTCTTCCATATTGATTTCAATCGTTTGTTTGTTTACTTTGATAGACTATGAAAATGTACAATACGACAGATAAAAATTTCCTGCATTTTTAAAGTATTTATTCTATGTCAGAAATTATATTCAATTGTTTGAAACCGGTGCTTGTTTTTCGAAACCATGATGATAAACTGAGTGAAGCTAAATATTTTAATTTACCCTCAAATTTTAGTTCACAATAAAAACGAACTAAAAAAAGAAGACTAATGAATCGTAGTCGCCAATTGATCTTCAATGCAGTCGTCAAGTTGTTCCTTCGCTGTTGTCGAAACTGTTTCTTCGCAAATACGAACACGACTATTTGCATAAAACATTGTGACAAAAAATTGCCAAGGCAATGCACACTTGTTTGAGTCTATATGGCGTTCCTCGGATTGATGTGTTCGTTCATTGCTTAAATAGATCATTTTCTGGTCACAATCAATGCGTAACTCAAGAATATCATTTTGTTGCCAGTTGTTATTGAGAGGAATCGAATTGAAACGTTCATTTTCATTTGAATTGGCCAAAGCTGTATTATGATAGCCATAGTTTTCGGAAGCGGGCCAATTGAAACTATGTTCATTTGTATATAAATTGGCGAAAGTCTTTTTACTAGACCGGCTGCGTTGATTCATATTGTTATTATTATTATTCATAAAGAAGCGCTGAATCGATTCCAAAGGTGGATCTTTTGATAAAATGCCACAAGTCAAGCCTCCGACATAGTTGCATTGATCAATTTTAAAACGTATTCGATGTTGTCCACTTGAATATAGACGTTTACCACATACTACTGCATGCTGATTGCTTAGGCCATGTGCAGCCAATCTACCAGCGTCGAGAATTTGGATATCCCCACAAGTTTGCTGAAAAACATCAGCTGAAAGTCCATTAATAAAAATCTTTGAAATCAATACATTTTCATTTTCGCTTTTACCAAAATCGATGGCTTGGGCAGCGTTCAAATCTTTTTGTAAGTTATTTAATTTTTCTGTCCACTCTTTCAAATCTGTTTCAACATAATCATCTTCATTACGCGCTTTGCTCAATTCCCCAATAAGACGCGTTAAATCCTCTTTTACTATAGTTCTATGTGTAGCCAACGTAGCTAATAATGCATTTCTAGCATTTTCAGCTGCTTGCCGAATTTTATTAATTGATTCCTGTTCCCATTGGCTTATATTTTGTATCAGTGGATGACTATTAGGCTGTTTTTCTTGTTCAGCAATTGTTTGTTGAAACTCATCGTGTTTCGTAGTGAGGTTTTCCATTTCTCTAGTAAGTTCTTGTCGATGTTCAGCTACATGACGATAACAAAAATCTTTCCCACATCCATAGCAATTGAGTATTCCAGCTGCTTTGTTACATTTTGAACAGAGTTGTTTTTTACGTATAGTAGAAGCCACGTTTGGATACATTTGCGTTTATTTACTATATCTTATGAGTACTGTTAAGACACAACAAGATTTTATCAAACACAAGAGAACCGCAATGCCTGTGAAAAGAAGTGATTCTGTCTGACGATAGAAGACTTTTTCTTATCAAAGAAAGATAAGGATATATTTTGCGTCGTATTTTTTAAGTTTATTCAAAAATTTATTATGAAAAATACATAGCGCTGTAATATATTCATCAATACTTGAGCCTCAAATGGTGCAAATAGAATTCATTTATATCAAACGTTAATATAAACCGATCGAGTAATAAAAATATATGCCGCTATCAATGATACTAACAATTCAAGAGTTGAAATATAAAAAGAAACATTGTTTATTTTGGACCTTTGAGACATAGTTATGGATTCTTTTTTTCTTCTAGGAGATACATCATCTATTTTAGCGAGCAACGTTGATAGTTCAATACCTAATGTCGAGTTGAACTTTTTAAATAACAGGTGGGCCAGAAATAATTGGACTGTTAGTTTTTTTTCCAAATTTCTTCTCTTCCTCGTACTCAATTGAGCTGATTCTACTCTCAAAAGATTCCACATTCAATTCTCTACAAAATGGTGCATAGCCGATAATACGAAATTTTGAGATATTGTTTCGGCTGAACAAAATACGAGGTGTCCCAAAAAACTGAAAAAATGTAACTTAATAATTGGTATTTCGCTAATAATAAATCAAGTTGTTTAATCGTGTCAAAGGTAAATATGTAAAAGTGTAGCCCTTGAAATTCTCTCTCGATTGGCCATCAAAGCGAAATTCTTCTCTTTATTTTATCCCTTCATTCATGGTTTCTGTAAAAGCCCCATCACTGGTTTTTAGCCTTTCGACTTACTTATTAGGACCATCCGCAGATTGATCATATTTCGAACAAGATTAAACCAACCAGACTCGTTCAAGCATCATATGAAAAATCATCTTTTTCCCTACTAAATACACATCCAAATAGTTTTAAATATTGTTTTGTTAAAAAATCGGGATGATATCAGTTCATAACACTAACATTTCGCTGAGGTTATGGCGGCAAGCAACTAATTAGCTATTTTCTATCAGGTTAACGCAAGTAGAAAAAATGAATTTAGTCCCCATCAGATAGAGAATATCTGATTTGTATACCATTTTGGCTTAGATTTAAAATCGCAAAACTTTGCTAGAAAACGATTACATTTTTCAGTTTTTTGGGACACCTCGTATTTTGTTCAACCGAAACAATATCTCAAAATTTCGTATTATCGGCTATACACCATTTGGTAGAGAATTGAACGCGGAATCTTTTGAGAGTAGAACCACCTCAATCGAGTACGAGGAAGAGAAAAAACTCGGAAAATACTAATAGTCTAATTATTTATGACCCACCTGTTAAGTAGAATTATAAAAGCGTTCTTTCACATAAATCAACGATTTATTAAATACATTGAATGAGAAAATCAATCTTTATTTGAACTCGATGATAAATATTGTTCTATTGACTTATCAATCGAATAGAAAATTAAATGTAAAACTTAATCCGAACATCAAATTCTGATTGAACTACATTAACTTCTTGATAATGAAATGCAACTATCTAGTGGATTAGATACCCTGGACAATCATTCCGACCGTCGGAGTGTATTACAGTAGGTATTTCAAAATAGGACTTATCTAATTGAATTTTATTTTTCTCGTTGCATGATCTGAACAAGCTGTGAGGAAAATTGGGCTTTGTGTAGGAATGTCCTCAAAATATTGATTAAAACAAAAACAAATGATAATTGAAATCTATACAGTTCGTTTAATAAGAGTCTGAGATCATGATTGCATATAATATTTTATTTTCTATTTATACGATTCACTAGGTACAGTATTAAGGCGAGATCAGTGTTAGAAATAATTGATTAACAGCGACATCTATGTTCCTTTTTAGCTCGATTTGAAGGCTCTCTTGGCAATCTATGATTTAAAGAATTATCAAATGGAGTCGATGGAAAAGAATCGGTTCGTTTTTTAGTAAAATAATAGTTTTCAAAAAATGAGTACAGCACTATCACAACGCAAACCAGAAAAACTTGATAAAGGCAAAGGTAATTAAAGACAAACTTCTAACAACTTTTCGTTAGAATTAGATAATCACTTGAGAAGGTTTATAAGTGTCGTTTATACAAAAAAAAAAAAGAACTGTTGCACTTTTGTTCGATGTAACGGTGACAACTAATACAGAAATTTAATTGCTTCTCTTTGCAATATAAACTCAATCCTTAGAAGTAGAGATCGATTTCTTCTTTCCTTTTGAAATTGGTATGGCATATCAACGATTTATTGCGATTCATTTGCAAAAAAAAGAATTAAGCATTTGTATTCGTCATACTGGCGGCGATAAGTCATAAAAAGCAGTTTCGAAAACGAAATAGTGTCGCACTTCGAGGGAGTGAGACAGGATCACGTTCTTCATTATCATCATCTACTCTTCAGTCTTTTGTAAATGAGGATCGTAAGTTCCCTGTTGATTTCGATTTAATTTTTCAATCAAATCGAACTTTTATTAACATCTATGTGTATGATTTAGAAAAGGGTAAAGCCGGTGGTAAAGGTCTTAAAGCAGCATCACCTATTCTCGATGGACCCACTGAATCTGATACAAGTCGACCACTTGATTCCGAAGAAATTCAAGCATTAGCTATTCGTCTTGATGAACTTGAAAAAGTAAATCGACAATTCAACGAAAATTATTAAATCATTTATATCTTTTTTAAGTTACATCAAGAGAAGAAAATAAGTCAAGAAGAACAGCAACGACCAGTCATTGTAAAAAAAACTAAAACTGGTCCACAAAAGCAACCGTGAGTAATAAAGAAAATTACTTTTTTTTAAATTTTGGGAACATTAACCAATAGAATACAAGTAGCTAAAATTGCACCACAACAACCCGTACAAGAGCAATTGATCAGTGCAGGAATAAGATTTGATCCAGTAGGAAGTTTACTTCCATACAGTATTCTTGGTACAGTGAATGATTATGTTGCTGAATTATCTGATCTTGAAGCTGCTGAAGTAAGTAAAAAAAAAACATTTGATAGTAAATTACTGTTTTTTTTCTGCTTAGCTTTGTGCAACATCTAGAGATAAGCAAACTCCTGAGGATATTCCAGAAGTCGGTCAATATAATAAAAAAAGAGTTGGTAGTCCTGATGGTGGTGGGCGTTCATTAGAAAATTGGAAATTTCGAATGGACGAACGACGACAAGTGATGAAAAATATGTCGAGTAAGTGATGCACAATATAATTTTAGCTAATAGACTAATTTGAAATTGACGATTTCAGAGGGGTTAAAACGACCGCCAGCAACTTTGCTCATGAATCAAACCGATCGTTGGCGAGAACGTAAAGAACTTATGGAACTTATGGATGCAACAATACCATTGATAGAAAACGGAAAAAACAGGCGTTTACATAGTGAATTTTGGACGCAACAGCAACTTATTGGAAGCGATGATACAGGAATACAGTACGTAAAAAACAAAAGAATCTCTTCCTGACACTAACTAAACTAACTTGGTCTATTTCAGTACAACACTGACTCGTACAGAAGTTGGTCTTCCTCCGCCGTTTGAAACTATTGGAAAACCAACGGTTGGCATGCTCGAAACGGGTATCGATTTAACGCATAAAAATACTCAAAGTTTAAGCAAACGAGAATGGTTTCAATCTGAGTATGTTCTTATCAATGCTTGTTTTTATCTTTACTAAATTCTAAATTTAGATATTTGGAACAACGAGTTAATCAATTGAACCCATACATGCAAGAAATCGTTCCACATAAAGCGGATTTATCATCATTACAAATCATTGGTCACAATACATTGAGCCGTAAAAGTCAACAGAAGATTGATATTGAAATTCATGTTTTTGAAAAAGCCAACGAACGAGATAAACAATATGAAGAAGAAATAACCGATAATATTCAATTAAATGATGATGATAAAGAAAATGAAAATTTCGGAGATACATTTAACGATATGCCCGATATCATTAACGCACCTATAATGGGTAAATTTCAGTAGAGAAAAAGAAATTTCGTCATTTATTCTAACTTTTGAATGTTAGGTCCGGCTTTAAAAATTGATACATTCGTATTTCAACAAATGCCAAATATAAATGAAAATGAAGAACTTGATTTTATGTATGAAATTCGTGTTCAATTCGATAGTCAAGTTAACCAACGAGTAACACGTATGGTTGAAATAAAAAATGTCGGAACAACAGTTTTCTACTACGAATGGCAACTAAAACCATATACGAAACCATTCGATATTGTCAATTCAAAAACTCAACGTTTCTATTTCGATAATCGTACAAGTAAGAAGAGAAAAACAATCTTCTCGGTGCCTTTTTTCTTTATTATCAAATAATATTACTTGCAGAACCTGTATTTCAACATTACGAGTCTCCGTTTAATTCTACCGGTAGACACAGCAAACTATAATTTGCTATTGCTCGATCGCTTTTCGTTCTGCTACATATTAAGCTTTTTAGTTTCAATCGATTTTTTTTCTCACAACATACTCAATAATGTCGGTGTAGTCAGTCGTACTAGAGAATTTTTCGATAGATTGATTCTAATCCGAATTTTCTTGAATTGATATTTATATTATTATTTTCAAGGCTCAATTTTGCCCAATGATACGCTCAAGCTTTCATTTGTATTTAAATCAAACGAGTCCGGAATATTTACTGAACGTTGGCAATTATTAACGCGTCCTGTACTTTGCGGTGGACGACCTATCATATTTACATTGCGCGGAGTAACGATCGAAGAAGATATTCATCGAGAAACACGTGCCAATATTGAAGTAGATTAATTTCGAAGAGAAGAAAATTATTTTCATTTTGAATTTTTTTCTTCTTAGAAAATGCTTCTTCATAAAGAAGCAGAAAGTATTGTTCGAAAAATTGTTTCCGGCATTCTTGATAATGTTCGAACGCCGGATCGAGCGCGGTCACCTGTCGGTTTCTATATGACCGAACAAGAACAATTTCAACAGAATAATCCTGATGTAAAATTAGATTTTCTTTCAAAGGAAAAAAGAATTTGATTTCTGTTTTGTTTTTCGTAGCTTTACTTTGATTATGAAATCTTTGAGCAAATTAAAAAATTATACGAACAGGTTGTACCGAATTTTGAAGAAGATAAATGGAATTTATCCGTTGAAACATTACGTTATAAAATTTTATTATTCGATGAAGATAATCCAAATAAACAAATCTTTCTTGAACAACTCAATCAAGCAGCTAATCAATTAACACTTCAACCAATAGCACCATCCGAACAAACAACTTACATAGTTTGGTAAGTAGAACTAAATTTTACAAAACAAAATTCAATCGGCGACTTTAGTTATGATATTATGAATCAATTTATTGATACATTTGTTGATGAAATGATAAATGTCCATCAGAAACTGCAAATTCCGGAGCCTGCAAGTGAATCGTATCCCGATATTGACTTGTGTACGTTAGAAACAAGAAGAAGTTTTTGTGAAAATTTTAAATTTTGAATTTAGATGGTTATGAATTTGAATCATGGAAAAAGTTTTTTGAATACACAAAACAACAAGCGGGTAAACTAATTATTAGGTTTTCTTTTTTAAATGTTAATATTGAAATTTCTTTTTTACAGATGAAAAACGCGCTAAAAGTGCTGGTACTGGTGGTAAAGATAAGAAAGCAGCAGCAGTTGGAAAAGTAGAACGAGGAAAAGTTAGTATTTTTCCAATATGTGTTTTGAAAAGTAACCATTCGAGAGCAGTGTGAACATATGAAAAATACTCTTTAGGATGATGATAACAGTGATAGTAGCTTCTCATCGGTATGAAAAGCTGCTAACTACAATGAACAAATAGATTGTTCACATAGCAGAAAAAATTCGAACTAGATTGCTGCTCTTATCCAAGTGAATCCATCGCTAGAGCATTTCAGTGCGCTTGCTATTTGTGTTTTCAACAATCATTACGTAAAACGAAAAGAAATTCGCAAAATAATTTATATTTTAGAAAATTAAAGAGAAAAAGCCTATCAAGCCGGTAACTATTTTACATCATCCTTTCCGAAATAGCTAATAAACCTAATATTCCAGCCAACCATCTCCGCTTTTCTATGATTTCTGCTATTTAAAAATGATGATGATTTGCTTTTAGCAGTTGTCGATTTTTCTCAAATTTAGTTTTGCACAACCCTATACATTTCCTTTTAGTCTCCGAAAAGATCGCCCGCTCCATCACAAGTTCCATCGGCTGTTGGTAAACGCGCAGCAGCCAGTGGTACGGCTTCTCAATTGACTAAACGCCCATCGTTCGTCAGTCCAGCTAAACCAGATAAAGAACATTCTCAATTAACACCACAACAATTAGATGAACGTTTCAAACTCTCTCAAGGAGCTTATTTACCAATCTATACTCTACTATGCCATACATTCGATCGTTTAGAACAAGCACTCGATGATTTATCAGAAAAATCTCCCTCCAATAATGAAAGTACTCTTTATTCACAATTGGCAACATCAATACAAAATCAATCATTGAATATTCTCGATATTCTTAAAGACGAATTAACACGCAATGTAACAACAGTCGATGTAGACAAATTTTACTAAAATAAAAAATATTTTATTTTACGTTTTCGCAAATAAAGTTTTTCTTTTCTATAGAAAGCACTATTTAGATTCTCATTGATTGGCATCGTAGTCGGCCTATATTTTTCGAAAATGTAAAGATTCCTGTGAAAAAAGTCATGTATTTGTTACAGGACAAACTAAAATTTACGAAATTCTCCCAAAAAAGTCAGGAATATTTGCAATTTTAACATCGACAACGTATATAGACTGCATTTGTTGCCTTTCTATATATTTTAAAAGATTGTCTCATAAGATAGACGCGTGAATCTACTTTTGGAAAAATAATTTCACCGATTTATTTGGTCGTCTTTGTATACTAATGCCAAAATATACTTAGCGCAATCAAAACTGATTGAGCGAACTCGATGCTGAAGGTATTAATGTTTAAATGTATTTTATGTGAAACCGTTTATATCAGAAAGTATTGATCAGCATCAGAGCACTAGCAGAGAATGGGCAACCCTTTATCAGAATCGACGATTTCAGTTCCAAAAAAGAGAAAGCGATTTTGCCCATGTGTATTCATTGTTATCTCAAGCATACAATGTTTTAGTAGAACACAAATGTAAACTTTCTTACTAATTAATTAAAATAGAACGAATTGCCTATGGCTTATTGAAGCCTTTTACAATAAATTGTAGATTCCAATGAGAATATTTATTTAAGATTTACTTCTCTTAGCACGAACGAATTTGATTGCTCGAAACGAAAACATCTGCTAAGCGTAACGGTAAAGGTGTTCGGTGCAGTGTTCATTCAGAGCATTTTGTTTTCTTTAATATCACGATAAATTGTCACACTTTAGTCACAATATCAGTTAGGTGAAAAATAAAACTGGGCGTAGACAAACGAATCTATAAACCATTAGTATGGCTTGATAACATTCTTTTCGCGTGTCTACTGTGATTTTCATTCGTTCGCATCTATGTGTGTAGGAGTGTAGAGGAACAACAACAACAATAATAATAACAAGTTCAGCCATAATAATGTGTTTTTTTTGTTACGAAAAAAAAGAAGAAATATGTGTGAAAGTAAATCGTTTCACGCACACCCACGAAGTCATCAACTTATATTGAGAATAACAAAACTGACGTCATAGACAATCTCATCAACTCAACAAACATTACTCGTTGTTGTTCATCATAACGATCATGGACGAGCACGCGCATCACATCTAATTGATTTTTCTTCTCTCTCTTTCTTACACAAGTGTTAATAAAATAATCGTTAGCATGCTTAACAAACAAACACGCGATCGAGCAACACTCCAAAAAAGAAAAGACCATCATAGAATCTTTTTCTTGAGAATAATCGTATTAGATCAAATCAAAGATTGTTCTAACTTCAATAGATTGATGAACATATGTTCATAATAACACTGTTCTTAACTGATTTTCAAAAGAAAATATTTTATTGCCAACGGATGCACTCAGTCTACTTTGTCTGATAAGAAAAATTTCAGGTGACTCCTTCGAATATTTTTCAATAGAAAACGTCATGATTTCCGAAAGTCATTGTCTATATCGTTAAGTTTTTTCTTTTTTAATTTATTCATAACGGCAAACGGATGTCCATTGAAGTGATCTATTGTATGCGATATGCGAAATGTTTGATTGCAACAAATGAAGTGTTATTAGTACAATAAAAAATAGTGTTTTATTTTTTGTTTTTACGACAACGACGACGAACGAAGAAGAAGAAGAAAAAACACATGAAACAATACACACAAAGAAAAACAACGAAATTATTTCGATACTTCATTGACAAGGATTCTTCGCAGATTATCGAATGTTGCTGGTAGATTACATTGCGGACAAGCTTTTTTTTCATTGAGAGACTTTATCCAACATTCTTCACAATTAATATGCCAACAATTTATTGATACACACAGTTTAACACATGATTCCTACTAGAAAAAAAAAGCGGGAATGAATCATTTTTTGTTTCTCCTTTGCTTTAATTAGAAAATTCTCACCATACAAACAACACATTTTGGTGGATCGAGATCCGGAACATTAGGCGATTTTGTGTATGAGATATCCGTTTGAGTTGACGGAGAATATCGTTGATCACTGTTAAACGATTCTTGACAACTAAGACTCGTCGTGCCACTTGTACTTTTTTCTTCACGTTCAATGTCATCGTCGACATCAACAACGTTCACGTCGGGATCTTCGACTGATGATAAACGATGATGATTGGTTAGTGCAGCGACTGCGGCTAATTGTTCTCTCTAGAAAGTTAAAATTTAAAAAAGTTTACGATAATCTCTTTTCTTTTGTTTTGTACCTTTCTTGAACATTGTTGAACATGAGTAAAAAGATATTCGTCGTCCGAACCAATACGAATCGATTGATAACATATGGGACAATTTCGTGTATCATTACGAATCGATCGACGATGATGCAATTGTAATCGAGCATTTAGTCGTTGTTGTCGACTGGTTCGTACTCGTAAAAAAGTCTAAATCAAAAATCAAAACATATTCTACGATGACATTTCTATGCGAAAAGTCTCTTACTTCATATCGTGTTTTGAATGTTTGATCGAGATTATTTTCTGGAAAAGCCTATACGCAAGAAAAAAAATTAATTATGAAATGTACTTTCAAATGAAAATCTTTTACTTTATTGTCTCGTTTCGATTTTAATATTTGCCGGCGTTTAATAGTATCGAGTTCATGTTGAACATGTGTAATTAAATCTTGTGCATTTAATGATACTTGACAAATGGGACATTGTGGATTTTGTAAATCAATGGTGGATGATCGGCAACGATTGTCTTAAGAAACAAAACAAAAAAAACTATTCAATTAAAACGAGCTGTCCATTCTTTTCATGCACGTAGGATGAAGAGTTCGATTATTTTATTACTTCTGGATCACTATCATACCATATGTCTAAATAGCCTAACATCAGAATTTGATTGTACAGCTGAATATATGTTGTATCAACATAAATTTGTAGTGGGGGCATCCCAAGTGACTGATTATGCATACTTGATTTTTAAGAGTAAGAAAGAGAAAATCACCGTCTGTGCAATGAAAAAAAACAATATTCTTATTAAATATCGATTTATCAATCTTTGATCTTATATTTATGACTGAATAGAAGAATAGTGGCAAATTATGATGAATTTTTACAATTCTCACATATTGAAAAGTGTCTGTTGAGAAACATCCGTTGTGTATTTTTCACAACATACTGTTAGAGGAAGCTAATTTCTCACACGAAATTAGATTAATTTCGTCTTCTGTTAATTAACGAACTTAAATATTTGCTGTAAGTGAGATTTTCAATGGGGTTCATCGCGTAAATATATTTTTCTTTCTCTTTGATCAAATCTAAGTGTTTGTATCCACTTGATTTTTATACCTGTATTCTTTCCAAGACTTTCATCGTTATTTGATGTTGTTTCACAATGATTTTCATCGTGTGATTCATTTTTAAAGCGTTTTCCAGCCGGTAAAAATGCCGATGATTCGAATGGCGAATTATTGCTCGTGCCATTGAATAGAGGACGAAATGCTGCAGTTGCATACGGATAATGTTGAAAAAGACTGGAAAATAGCTGATGCTGATGAGCGGCTGTTATCGACGGTATACGCAATTGATCCGACGACGATTGATTAAGAAGTGTATTTACTGAAAATGCTGCATTAAAACCTGATACAGAACTTTTCTCCGGACTTATGTTTGGCGATGTTGGTTGACGCATGGAACGAAATGCTGCAGCCATATCAATAGGATGCCACATCGATGGATGATACATAATTATTTAGTAGATAATATAAAACTTAATCATTCAATATGAAAAAAAGAAAAAGTGATTGAGTCTTCTCGCTAGTTGAGTAGAGAGCAAATAAAAAAAGAAACGAGAGAGTGATTGGTAGTTAGAAATAAGAGAGCGAAAGAGCGAAGAAAGAAACACACACACATCTATTCATTCAAGCGAAGAAAGAGAAAGATACATATACAACCACGAAGGACATGATTTGATTGAGTTTTTTTTTTCTTATTCTAGTTACGCGACTGCCCATATATTCTTTCTTTCCACTCGCAAACGAGCTCATTGTCGATGCGAAGAAGCGTATAGAAGAAAAAATAAACCATCATTTATACACCCAACCAATAGGAGAGTGTATGTTCGCATTACTTATTGGCTGTTCGAACACTACAAAAAAGAAACGAAAGAAAAAGAGTCTTCCTGTGTGTCTATCTTATAATACAGTTGGTTGCCTGTGTTTGCCTGCTGGTATATGTCTCAGAAATAGAATGATAATAATCATAACATAGAGATGAAAAAAGGGAGAGAGGGAGAGACAAGGTGAGCGACAGTATTGCTTGTCGTTTATTCGCGTAATGCAAACAGTATACACTTGAAGAGAACTATATTGATTGCTTACGTTTGGCGTCATCGTCAAGCATCATGATCGATGGGCTTCTTTTGTGTGAAATTTTTTTCTTACATTAAAATTAGGTCGAAATGATGAGGCGGACGAAAGTAGACATATGATAAATGAATCACTATTTGATGAGCCTATAATCAATAAGGATGAAGCAACACAGGAAAAAAAAGAAATTCACTGATAGAAAGTTGTAGTATCATATTTTTTTTTCCGTTGCTGTGAGGCAAATATTGAATGAATGTGAAAACGCGAGTCATTCATAGTAGCTGCTGCTGCTGTCTATATGTCATTTTATGATACTTAGTGGTTCCAGATGGTGTGCATAAGTATGTGTCGTTTAAACAAGATGACTTTTCTTCTCGTCATAGAAAACATACTCAATTGAAGTTTATATGAAAGACAAAAAAAAAACGAGAGAAGAGAATAAGGCTAATTAACACCCTGAACAAATTATAAATACATTCCGTTAGATAGATGTATATGTTGCGCTTTGTGCCTCATTGCCAATCGCTCAGAAGACGGCCAAACTCTTGATGTGATGCATCGATGACAATTCTTTTCTAAATCGACTGTTAATGAACGGATATATCTATGAGTATGTTGTGTGTATGAGCCCATATGGAAGATGGCAGGTATATAATTGAAAAAGAAAAAAAGAGAGGCAAAATGTACACGCGTGAGTGCGTGATCTCTTCTTGTCATTGTCAATAGTAATTGATCGGTTATTGATAGTCCGTGGGATTGAAATGAAAAAATTGGAACTTCGGTGAACACGAACCGATAATAATGTTGCTAAGTGATGTGTCTGAGAAGATCAAACGTGCACAATGGGAATAATGCTGTTTTTTTGTATGTTTGTATTAGAACGATTAGTATGTCGACATGTTTTGTTTATACCATTTTGTCGGAATGTATATAACTACAATAAGATTTATTTGTGACATTCGGCCACTGTGCCAGTATACTGACAGAGATCAAAGTAGAAGAAAAGATACTGTATATTTGGTTAATGTCCTTATATTTTTTTTTATTGAATTAGATTTACCAAGACAATAAATCTATTCTTTCTCGGGAGAAATGTGTTTAACTAACGGGAATATTTAAGTTATTTCTAAATGATGATGAATTGATATTGTAATTATGCTGTTCTCTAAGGATATGTACGATTCATACTGATTGCCCGCCTCTAACTGATGTTGATTGTCATAGTTAGACGACGTGTGAGTAAAATTTACTAAAGAATAAAGAAGCGTTTTTTTCTCTTCTCGTCGTTTATCAATGATTGTTGACTTTGTCAAGAGAGATGGCAATAAAAACAAAGATTAGTGTAACAGATGTAATGATTACTATACACATTGAGAAATATTGATTTTAACATGTAAATGTCTGTTGCACATCTGATACAAATATTGAATAATCAAAAGAATAGAGATTTCTTTTTCTTTTTGTGATCAAGTTGGTTTTATTTATATCATTATAATTGAGAGTTCTTGAGGGTGGAGTTCTCTTTTGTTTTCTTTACAAACACTCACGTATGAATAGATGATATTCCGGGCATATGTTTTGCTTTTGATATTTTACCTTGATTCAGAGACAACGTCTATGATCAAACGAATAAAAGAGACAGCGAAACAACGCATTTTACAATGAAACCAACGGAAAGAATGTATATCGTACCTATTCTTTTTCATATTCACTATGATATTGAACCAAGGGGAAAAGGCGGATTTGGGATTTTCAAAATCCGAAAATCCGCTCCCCCTTGTATTGAACAGATTCGTAACTTATCGATGAAGACAAAGTAGATCATTTGATTTCAATACTTGAGTCCTGATTGAATCGACTGACGAACAGGACTCCATACAAGTCGTTAAGTTCTTTATTGAATAAATTCTACCATAAAATGAGAGAAATTTAAAAAAACGTTGAAATCATACAGCAGACTTATTTTAGAGAATGTTTTGTCACGAAAACTTCAACTAATAAAAATATTGAGTTTCTCGTTTACTTCAGAAAATCCTATGGAAATCCCGATGTTACCTCTTCTATTCTCTAATAAGTTGTCATATATTCGTATATGTTGAAATTCGTACAATGGAGTCAATAACAAACAGACTTCAACGAATTAAACTGAGTTTTGAATTTGAATAAATTTATAATCTATTTCTACCAACGATTTGATTATCTTTTAGCTTCTTATCGATATAATCGATCACAAAACAAGAGATTATAGTTTTAGAGAACTAATGTTTAAGTCTAATTTCAAGATTTTCAATTAGATGAAATTTGACAAAGAAAAATAATTTATGTATTTTTCCATCAAATATACTCCTGAGTGAAAATAAAATGAAAGATATCGCTAGCAGCATCTTACAATATATTAGGTTATAATTTACAAAGTAATCATTTCTTTAACGTCATTGATTGTTTGCTTCATTATCATATCGTTTAAAAATTATTACAGGCTTTGGAATGCTGATTTTCACTATTTTCAAGTAGTCTGTGGGTTGTTCTACACGATATATGTTGTTGTAGAATTTTAAATTTTTTTCCCTCGATATTGTGAAAAAATTTGTTTTTACGTTCACAGCAAAACATTTGCAGAGTTTTTCAATGTTAAAACTTAAAAAATGTCAGGTACCTTTATTTTTTGAATCTATTCACCCACACAGTCACCATTAGATTTTCAGTTTTGTTCGGTTAGTGTATTTAAGCCAGTCATCAGTAAGAGAGACTCTCATTCAACCGTTACTTCCTAAAACTAGTCGTAAAAACTAATTATAAAGCGATCTGTTTATACTTGTTAGTCAAGGATAAGCATTAACACACCGTCAAAACATGTTTGGGTAATGAAGCAAAGCGCAACTATTTCTCTTTCACGAATCATATTGCGAGCGAGACAAAAAACACGGATCAACACATATAGACATATGAAAAAATTTTTTTTTTCAAAACCATATGACACTAAGAGGATCGAATAGCTCCGATAACTATCTTCTTCATACAAGCCATGATCATGCGCGTCATCATTTGGTTTTTACGCTTGGAATACTCTTCCTCTTTTCTTGTGTCTTTTAATAATATACATCATACAAATAGATAAGTTAAATGTACAATATTTATCTCATTTTCACATTCTTCACTACGAGCAGTAGTATACATAGAGGTTGAAAACATATCGTTAATAGCTTCACTACAAACAATCGACTACAACATCAAATATGGGTAATTCCTCTTCTAACCACATGCCACCAATAGAGTTTATTGGAGACTGGTCAAATGGCCGTGACACGGTGATGATTATTCGCCAAAATGGAAGAATTTCTTATGTGAAATCGGTAGGCTGAAACGTTGAATTTGTTTTCAATTGAGAAATAAAACTAGTGACTCACGTGAGCACCTATTACAAATCGTCACGGTTTTAACAAACTACATAATAGCCTAGAAAGATGAAATATTGTTGTTTCTTTCATTTTTATTCTTTACTTGAAGTGTTTGAAAAATGAAGGCAATCTATACATAGTACTCTAGTTAGTTCGAACACAGTGACAGTCTAATTAGACCAAGAAGAAATAATGGATGACTAAAGTAGATTTGAATATTTTAGGGAATGAATGGTGGTAGTACAGCGATTTCTTCGTCAGCTTCTTATGACGAAAATGGTTTTTGGATGAAGGGATTCCTTTCCCCTAAACTGGAGGGCTATTATTACCATCATCATGGGCGTCCACCAGTGTTTGTTATTAATGGTGATGTGTTAAAAAAGCTGAAAAATGGCAGTCTTGGAACATTAAATTCTTATTTCACAAACACATCTGCAGCTATGGTAATGCCTTCTGCTGGGGCAATATCTGCTCCTATGGTAATGTAAGACGTTATATGAGCTCCAGCAGAACTTGATTCTTATCGGAAATATTTATTTCATTAACCTTTCGTATATTTTGTTTTTTCAATAATAATAATAACAATCTTAAATAAATGATTCGCTTCTTTAGTTTGTGTCTTGAGGTATGACGATTCACAATGATTTATTGAAAATCATTTATTACTTTCCGAATAACAGATTTTTACAGATGACTAACAGCGATGCTCATGTGTACACGAACTTTTGGAATCTTGAGGGTGTGGGTGTGTCGTTAGGTGGCGCGACTTTCTAGAAATAAGACACAGCCACTCACACACTTTCAAGTATTGCCTATCCAAGCATATCACAGCTATGGCTGACACTGAAAAACATTCATAGCGGAAATAATTTGGTCTGCAAGTTTTCTGACCGATATTAAATGCAAATGAAGCATTTAGCATAAATATTTATTATTATTTGATGGTGTGGGGTGTGTGGGTGTTGTAGGAAATAATTTTTCTAAAAGTATGAAGATGAAAGATATTCATAAAATGAATCGGATTCACAACGAACGTTGTGAGAAGGTTGAGCCAATTCAATGTATGGTTCACTCGTATTGGATGTAATGCCAAAAAACATTTTTGTAAGATATTTTCTCCGATCACATTTGATTTTTCTGAAATTTAATTATGTAATTGAAGAGTGTCACAATTTTGAGAAAATATATCTATATGTTTATTTACTATCTTCTTTCCGTGAAATTTTTGAGCACACAAATGACGATAGAGCTTCTTCGGTAGAGACCATTTAATTTATCTCGATGCACTATTAAATGATAGCCTTTCATTTTCCCCGAAAGATATTCAAGCACAATGAGGGTGTGGGTGTAACTCTGGAGTGAGTGTCCTTTCCACTTACATCCAAGACGAGTTCGTACTCGAGAATCAGTAGAGAATATAGGTAAAATGTGAATAGTTTCATCATTCAAAAACCTTTGAATGGGGTTCAGCTGAAAAAATTCTTCCCTCAAAAAGAGACATTCTTTTCTTTGTATACATTTTGATGTTGCTTGGCAATATTCAACCATTATACAGTTGAAATTCAGAAAAAGTGCTTAAATATCGAAGAGAAATGCATGCATGAGTATCAGTAACTAATTCATTTGTAAGATTTTTTCATCTTGATTTGCTGTTTCAATCCTTTTTCACGTATTTTTTCAGCAATAGCTGATTCAAAAGCGCTCTTTATTTTTATTACGAAATTATGCTTGAACATTCATACTGATGGACGAAAACGCGTCTATTCCGACCATTCAATACTCATTCATACCCGATCAACGATATTGAACATAAAAATCATCTGTAACTGAAATTTTGTACAAAAAATGCTCTTTCCCAACGGTTGATCAGACTACATAACAAAGATGGATATGTGTCGAACTGATTAGAAAAGACCTCATCAATACGTATGATGTGTACGACATCGATTTTCTGTTTCCTGGCGTGCGTGTTAGTTCACGGGCTCAACTTAAATTGAAAATGAAGAACTCATGTAAGATGTCACATAAATATTATTAATCGAAAAAATAAAAATTTCTCTATCTCAGGGCTGTAAGTCTTGTGAATGTACAAGACTAGAAAATCTTGATGAAAACAAAACTTAAAGCGGGGTGTGAGTGTGAACGTGGGAAATCTATTTGTTGCAGCCATTTACTCTCTTTCTTACCGTTTGATAATCTGTGTTATTTCCAAGTATATCTTGCCTCGCAGATGAGAATAAAAAGTTACAATCTTCCTTTCTTTTTTTTTTTATCAAATAGATCATTTTCACAGAGTATGTTAACATAAATGAAGAAAAAAAATTGGAACGCAATCTGTATGCATCACGTGCCTGAATACCAGAATAGTTGAATTTTTCTAATAAGTCATATCTACGTGCATATCATCCACTGATAAGACATGATATATAAGCAATGTTATAGCATCACAAACTATATAGAGTTTAAATAAAATTGAATAGCACTAGTATAAGGATGACTTCATCATTTAACAGAATGCCGAACACTGACGACGAACAAAGGAGTTTGATCGATAGATGCTATTTAAAAAACGGACATGCACATGTACCATTGAAAGGACTGATGGACTAGATTGATAGTTTATTAGTAACTGCATGGAATGAAATTGTTATCACTCACACCCAACCTACTGATGTTACTACAATTGGTAAAAATTCAAACGATCAAAATAATAAAAGATTATCTTTTCAATTGGGAGATGTAAAATCAGATATCGAATCAAATATTAAGATGGAACCAAATGTTTCGCATGCATTTCATTCAACTGTGCCTGCTAAATCGAACCATTTAAATGTCGGTGATTGTCAAAATAATAATAAGTCATTATTTTCACATCATATTTCACCATCAACTGAAATGATATTTTCATTGTCCAACCGAAAATTATTAATGGACCAATTGGTTCCCATATTGAAAGCTTTGCAACAAGAATCACTTCACACTGCATCACAAAAACAACATTACACCAATTACTGGATATTTCGTCTTCAAAGAACAATCGAATTTTTACAAGATATAATTCAGACAGAAGAACGAAAATAAAATAAAATAATACTAATAATAAAAAAGACACGTACGATAATTTGCACTCTATTTATCATTACTTTTCATGAACTTTGAAATTGATATTCAATCGAAAGTTTTTAGAATTAAAATTATATGATTTTAAAAATAAACTGTTTTTTATGAAGAAAGTAAGACCAGAAAATGTTGCTTTCCTTTTATATGCAGCATACAAAGCAAACGAAAAACATTCGATTTATCACAAACTGTATTATAGTCGGATTCATAATTTTCAAGTTATATCTATCTAACTATAGTTGTTGATTTGATCGTCTTTACATTTGATAAATTTGACTCAAATGCTCATTTTATCGGTTTGAATTTTAAATGATTTTTCATTATACATGTGTCAGAATAAACCAATACTATTTTACTCTTTTTTTCGGAATGGTGATAAATTCTATTCAACTGAATTTTTTTGGTACAAAAAATGTTGGTGTAAGCGTGTGCGTGGATGCAAATTTCTTCGTGGGTGTACCTCACGGCTGGGCAAACCCGAGCTGTGGCTAGGATTTGTGTCATTTATTCAAAACCTTAGTTGAAATCTTTTGTTCGGTTCATATATTCATTGGCTGATAAATGATAGCAGCCTACATGTATTGTCGAATATATGCACTTTTTTCGCATTTCAGTTTTGAATCATCCTTGACAGATATATGCTTTTATGTAATAAACTCTTGAAGATGTGAATGTGATGTTGTGTGCGTATAGATCAAGAATAATTGAACTAAGATACACCCACACCCACACCCAAAATAACATCATTGTCTACAAAATCCTTTACGTAGAAGTGTGACATCAGTGGCGTATCCAGCAGGGTAGCAATTGGGCAATTGCCACCCAAACGAAATTTTATTGCTACCTATTTCTTTTTTAGTACAGGCAATTGCCCATCGTAAAAAAATAAGAAAATTTGTGTACAGTTAAAGATTTGAGGACTGTTTTCTTTCAACACATTTGCTTGCGGCGAGATTTAATCAAGTGATTTACAAAAATCAATCTTCAATGTCTTCTAGCTAAAGAATGNATGGAACAATGCTTGTTGCTTGTCATTGCCCAATGTAAGAGAACAAACTAATACGTATCATTGTGTGATCGATGAAAGAAGATTAACTGAGCTTTTTCGTTGCCTAACGAAAGAGAAGGAAAAGACATTGATAATTTTTCGGCGAAAAAAGATAAAATAATACTCACCCTCACCCACACCCTTCTTCAAATAAAATATTCAAATATATGAAATTGAAAAATAGATTTATGAAACACGGGGAAAACAGCGAATTCATCTGTTAACGTAGGATGACTACAACTTTTTCTTCAAATACACAACGGCTTCTGTAATGCGCATAATTTTTTTAAATTATTGCCCACTAGATTTTATAATTGCCCACTATTGCTACTCATTATAAATAATTTAGCTGGTGAATTGCCACCTACTTAAAAAATCCTGGCTACGCCGCTGTGTGACATTTTCGGCTGATGCCATGGTGTGCCAATATCTACTCTTGTCATATAGTTGTATGGATGATTTATACATGGCTGTTAACCTTTCCTTATCACTGTATGTCTTGTTCGTATCTTGTCATTTCGTTTTATACGCTTTATCTTTCTCTTACTGGTTTTCTTCGCTTTGTACTGTCATCGATTTCATCGCTTCTCTTCTATCTGTATATCCACGACGATACAGATAAACAAAACAAAAAAAGAGCTAACCTGAAGAAGGCAGAGTGTGTAGCAGAGATGTCCACAGGACAGGATTACCCTGTCATGTGCCCTTCCCTGTCCTGCCCTGAGCAGGAACAGGGTGAGTCCTTATACCCTGCAAAGTGAAAACCCAGTTGTTTGGATTTCCGCTCTGAAGAAATTTTTCCTTTAGTTTGCAAGACTCAAAAATAAGAAAATAGACTCCAGACAACGACACAAACTGATAGTCAGAAGTTTCTCTATCTGACCTGGCCCACATCAGCCACGACCCGTTTCCACTGAAGCTGCTCAATCAGTGGTCACCGGTTGACTCATTTTTTACGCTCGATATTCAAGCAAAATAAATATTTCCTTTAAGAAGTATAGGTCTCAGAAAAATTTAATGTCTCAAGAATGGAACAAGATTTTTTTGAAACAGTTTTCGTATGAATTCATCAAACACTTGCATTTATCATTATAAAAGTATCGATTAAATCGATTATTACTGATTAAGAAGGGTCCATCGTGGCTTGCCTGGACTGGCTCTAAAACAAAAAATTGTTCTATGGTACAATGCGAAACATGTCTTTTTATTTTGAAATATATCAAAAATTACAACACAGACACTATTTCAATTTAGCAGGGTACCTTGCCCTGCCCTGCTGAAAACCGACAGGGAAGGACAGGGGCAGGACGCATCTTAAATTTATTCATTTTGTTTTCAACAGGACAAGGCAGAGCAGGCAGGGTGCAGGGCAGGACAGGGTGCAAAAATTTGCCCTGTGGGCATCTCTGGTGTGTAGGACAATGACTCAAGAGCCGCTATGGCTGAATGGTTAAGATGTTTGGCACATATCCACAAGACATCGTGTTCGAACCTCGACTCCATCAGTCATAGAATGACCTTGGAAAGTCACTAACGGCTGTTTTGTCTCGGACCACCCATCCGATAACAAATTGACTACATAGTTGACGTGCACTAAATAGTTCTTGTGACTAGTATGTGTATGTGGTTAGTCAGTATGTATGGG